CTGAGTGGTTTGGTGAAGAATCTGAGCCTGCAGCCTGAGGGTCGTCCTCAATGCCACCACCGATATTGATGTTTGTGTGTGCAAGTGAGCAGGGTGGCTGGAAGGAGCACATTTTCAGTCCTCAAGGGGCCCCTGAACCTTGCTTGACTCTGAAGTCTGAATTTTCCCTATGACCCCACTCTACTCTGGCACTGATTTTATTCAGAATTTTATAGAATGGATGCAAATACTCTTTCTTGGTTTAATAACGAATTCAACTGTGGAAACAAGTAATCATAAAAAGTCTGCATGAAGACTCTTACTGCCTCCTCCTGTGTTTTTATTTATAATTTCATGGATATTGCTCTGGGTTCATGAATTACTTTAAAAGTTTTTCTTGTAGTGCAGTACGTATAATGGTTACTGTTTTAACCATTTAAAGTGTACGAGTCAGTGGCATTAAGTACATGCACAATGTTGTGCAACCATCTCTTTCCAGAATTTTAAAAATCATTTCAAATAGAAACTCTATATTCATTAAACGCTAACTCCCTATTTCCCGCTTTCCCATCCCCTAGTAAACCTCTGTTTTACTTTTTGTCTTTGTGGGTTTGTCTATTCTAGCTACTTCTTATACGTTAAATAATGTAATATTTATCTTTTTATGTCCAGCTTTTTTCACTTGACATAATACTTCAAGTTTCATTCATGTTGTAGCATGCATCAGAATTGCATTTTTAAAGGTTGAATAATATTTCATGGTATGTCTGTACCATATTTGTTTATCCATTTGTCTGTTGATGGCATTTTGGTTGTTTCTGTATTCTGTCAAGTGTGAATAATGCTGCCGTGAACACTGGTATGTACACACCTATTTGAGCACAGCCCCTGGACTTTTCCTTTGCTCAGGGTCACTCTGGGAGCATTGTCCAATGCCAGGAGCCCAGAGTCGAGTCATTCGTCTGTATGATGATGACTTTGACACAGAAACAAAGCACTCTCAGGCCCCCATGTGTGTCTAATGGGCCAGCATTCATTACAGCTAAATTGATTCTTATCAAATTCGTGGGGTGAGCAGTGGCAGAGGAAGTTCTGTTTCCCTTACACTGAGTGTTTGACTTTCAGCCTTCTCTTCCTTAGTTTTGTTCTCTTTAAGTTAAGGAGCATACTTGAGAACGACTTGGTAGTGTCATGACACCCGCTGTTTTTTTCCCCAAAATTTTTATGAATTCTTGAGCCAAACATAGGTGACTGTTATTTGTTCAGTTTCTGAAATATACTTTTGACAAGTGGAGAAAACTCTCCCTAATTTCTGTTTAGTTTGCTCTCTTTCATAAGCAGGATTAGTGAGCCATGTGGATCTCTAGACTGAACATTCTCCGTTTTAAAGCCAGGTAATGTTAGGAATCATTATTCGTCGCAGCCTTGGGTCTTTATTACTTTTTTGTTCTGCCGTGTCCTGTGCTCAGTGTGATTTGTGCGTTTCATCTGTCATCCTTCACTGTTGGGGAGCATAAGCATATCACATAGAGGACTGGAGGAAAGTGTGCTTAGAAAATAATTGAAGACTTTGTAATTTGCAGCTGCAGGATAGCTCCCTGTTTTAAAGCCTCTCTTTTGGTTATACAACCAGAAGTGAACCAAAGTCTTTGAAAATGAGGCTCCATCTCAGAGGCTGTGTGCTTGTGCACAGGCTCGTTGAAGGCCAAGAGTCTGGCCCCAGTGACGAACCGTGAAGCAGGAGAAATCTTCTCTGACGTGTCCTCACTTACTTCCAGCTGTGCAGCTGCTGTCTTTAAGTTGTCTTCCTTCTGCCCAGGGCAGGCAGTAGAATGTCTGAATGCTTCCCAAAACCTGCCTATTGGAAATTTATGTATGTGTAACCTGTGCTAGATTCACAGCATGTCAGGGGTAAAGTTTAAGCAAAAATGGCTATACTGGGGCATAAAGTGAACTAAGTTTATTTTAAGTTTATTGGGGTCCCTCCTTTCAGTACATAATTACATTGATGTACAAATGCAGTCGGAAAGATCAGGTGAAAAAACAAACAGTCCTTCCAAAGGGATTTGATAAATATGGGTGTTCTTAATGTTCATCTGGATCTGGAGATTGTTTGAATAAAAAGGAAAAAAGATGAAACACCCAAGTGCTTGAATGGTTAAGTAGGGAATCAGAATGCTTATTTTTCCCTCAAAACACCATATCCATAATAAACCATGATAGAAAATAATGCTCCTGTAACCTTTTTCCTTTTGTAGTTTATCTTTCTAATTCCAGTGGATGAACCAGAACTTGGTGCCTCAGAGAGCGAGAGGCTAGATTCTTTGTTACCCATCCTCGGAGAGTTTTGCAATCAAGATGCTTTCGGCAGAAGCACTGTTGGAAAGGCCACTCCCCAGGGCTCGCTGGAGCGGGGTGCTGCCCCTAAGGTGTCTCAGCACCAGCTGGGGGCTCTTTGCCCCCCTCACGCGCACCGCCTCCGGCCCCGACGGTGCCCGGCACCCGGGTGTGATCTGCGCGAGGCGGCAGCCGACAGTGCCTGTCGGCCCCAACCCAGCCCATCCCCCCTTCGGAAGGAATGCTCCCTTTAAGATCTCTTACTCGTCACCTTTTTGTGGATGGATGGCTACCACCTACAAGTCCAGTTCTTTACCTCTTCAGTGTGAAACGTATCTTATATTTGAGAAAAGTATATTTTTGCAGGGACATTATCTTATGATTACCTTTAGACTATTTAAAAAGAAAACTATTATTCGTGATTCTGTTTCCCTAACATACCCATCTCTTCATCCCCTGGGTTTTAGTGTGTGTGTGTGTGTGTGTGTGTGTGGGGTGTGGTCATGTACCCATTTTCCTGTCACCCATTTGAGAATTCCTGGCATTAGCTCTTGTATCCTTTCTGCTCTGGATGTCCTGATAGATATGACATGGTGGAAGGAAGGGGACTGTGGCGTCAAGCAAACCTTAATGTGAATCCTGGGCCCGTCACCGTCTAAGGTGAGAGTCCTTAGGCAAGACCCTCCTTTGTCTGCTCGTCCATCCACCTATGCATCTGTCTGCTTTCCCTGCCTCTTTTCCTCTCTCCCACCCACAAATACTCATTGTGTGCTTAGAACAGACTGGATGTGGGGGATCTGGGGACAGTGCTTTCCCATCCATGAAATGTGGCTCTCGAAGCATATTAAGTAGTGTTGTTATGAGGGTTCAATTTGCTAATGCCTGTGAAGGTACCCAGCATGACAGACAACAACCTGGCACACCTTTAGATGCTCAGTAAATGTTATTCTGTGGTCAACAAGTCTCATCAGTCCTGCAATTTCTCTGGCATCTATTACTTCCGTTTCTTAGCAGCTTGAACAATGATGGGCAATTATTTTCATACCTGGGCTATGCAAGAGGCTTCTAAATGGGCCTTATGGCCCTAAATCTATTCTATTAAATTCCTGTCACCACCATTTTCACTTCCAAAGCATTGCTTTTATCTGTATTACTCTTTGTTCAAAACCTTTCATTGACTTATCACAAATATTCTGAATTTCTTACTGGCCACTCAGGGCTCTCTCAGTACTCTCCCATTACTCAATCTCCTCTTGGAGTTTCAGCTCTCAGCATGTCTGCCATCCTTTCACACCTACTAGACTGGTTCGCCCTCTTTGGTCTTCCTGGTCTACAAACACATGTGCAGGGAGTTGCTAAAGCTCACTGACAAGAAAAGAAAACAGCACATTAAGGCAAGAATTTGGGATGTTTTAGCCTTTCTTGTGTGGTGTCTTAGTCCATTTGTGCTGCTACAGTACCTGAGACTGGGTAATTTGCAAATAAGAGAAATTTATTTTCTCACAGTTCTGGAGACTGGGAAGTCCAAGATCAAGGTGCCGGCATCTGCTGACAAAGGGGGCCCCTTTATAATGGCATTAATAACCCCCATGAGGGTAAAGCTCTCGTGGCCCAATCACATCCCCCAGGCCCAGCACTGCTACATTGGCAGCCAGATTTCAGTATGAAGCTTGGAAGGAACAAACAGTTAAGTGTAGTGTACAGTTAAGACTTACCACTACTCAGTATTTCTGGGGATATACTGCTTTTCATTGTGCTGCTATTATTCCACAAGAAACAAGCGAGTAGGAGCAGGTGATGCCCTTTGGAGCTAGACTTCAAGCTTTCAAGGAAAAACTAACTAGATCATTACTTTTTGTGTGTCCTTTCCATCATACCATCATAAAAACCTCTTAGGGGATTACTTATTAATTTCCATAGCAAGCAAATTATTCGCTTGATTTATCTTTGGGATTATTTACCAAAACATGTTGAGCTTGAAAAATATCTGCCCTGTAGTGGATTTTGTTAGATTTGCGGGAATTCTCCCAACTGGTAGCAGCATCTGTGACAAACAGGTAGATACAAGATGGTGTTGGGGTGTTCCCCAAGGTTTTTTTTTTTTCTTTGGAAAAAAAATGTTCATTTCAAAGGACAGTTTTCCATAGACTAGATTTGCGTCTTCATGAGTTTCCTAATTTCAGAATTCTGCTGAGGAAATCCTGCAATCCATGTTTAGGGACAGTCCTATATTATTTATAATCAATTATTCTTTTTGCATGTATATTTTATTTCACCCACAGAGTCTAATGTTTATATATATTTATATGTGTATGCATGTCTCTGTGTGTGTGTTTTGTTATAGGACGGTACAACATACTTAAATGTTGATTCCTGGTTCCTACTATGGGAGGCTATCTTCCCAACTCTGGCTCTCATCTCCCTCAACCTCAGAGAGTGGGGACCATAGTTTAGGCTTCTTGGCCCTGTCAGTGCTAGCATTTTGTGACTCTGTCATCTGTGAGTCTGATCAATACCAAATGTTGCTGATTCTTGAATGAAATGCCTTCTGATCACTGTTTTATAAGATTCTATCTGTGGTGAAATTAAATTGACTTCTAACAGCAAATAGTCCTGTTTGGAAAACAAAGTTTGTATATTAAATCATGATTATTCTAATTATAGTTTTGTTTTCTCTCCACCAGTTTGTTGTTTTGTGGTTCACAAGAGGTGCCATGAATTTGTTACCTTTTCCTGTCCGGGTGCAGATAAGGGACCCGACACTGACGTAAGTAGCCTGGAAACCATTTATTTGATGTCAATGTGGATTCCTGAGATTTAACTTTTTTAATGCCTGTACAACTGTTGTTTCGGCACATTCCATTAATGGGAAGACTCAGTTAGTCTCATAGAACTTTGGCTTCTACTAATGAACAGATTTATAGTCCTTTCGAGCCCCAGGCGACTTCTCAGAGAAATTCTCAGAGGAGGGTTTCTGACAGCATATCCTCTTCTACCTTGGACAGTCACACTGACTAAATCCACCAACTTTATAACAATAGCTTCCACAAACACAGTGTGACTGGTGGTAAGTTTCACAATGAACATCGATCACCCTTCAGTTTATTTCTAGAGGTTTATTAACAGGACCGTTGTTGCTTTTGGCCAGTATAACAAAGTGCTCCTCGTTTGCGTTGTGAGATACCTGCTGCCTTTTCATTATGTGTTCTAAATACTACTGTTGACTGGGAGAATTTAGCATGTATTATCATGTGTCAGTTCAGAATTTAACTGAACAGTGATCCCTGCAGCCACCCAAGTGTGAACACACAGTTTTGTTTATTTGTGTCCTAACTCTGCCTCTGCATCCCTGTTGTATCTCTTGGGTACTGAGACCTGGGCTCAGTAAAAGAGAGTGAGAAGAGACTTGGGAAATACCTGTCTCTAAAATATATTGAGTAGAAAGAAGATTGGGCTGTTACGTGAAAAGTAATATTTTAACTGAAAAAAAAAGTGTGGAGTGGGCTGGGATGAGTGGACATCTCTGTTCTGAGTTGCTTTTGCCAGGGAGACTGGTGTCATCCCTCTACCAAGGTCACGTGCTTCCAGTGACCTCTACCTTTAGCACCTGTTCTCCTCAGGAAACTTTGATTTTGAAGTGGTTTCCTCAGTGCAGGAGGCTGAATTCTTCCCTTCTCCGAAGAAGACATTTTCACCATGTGCTCTGAGGGGTCCAGATGTGTGTTGTAACACAGATGCTGAAGGAGCTTACCGTTGGGTGCTCAGTGTACAGGAACATACCATGGTGGGGTGACATGCTGGTGGAGGCAGCATGGCATGGGTCCCAGGCTCTGAGCCACCATGGGTTCCACAAAGGCTCACAGAATGTTTGTGAACCAGAGGAATCTCAGACATCATCTTGTTTTAGATCTTTTCGGATGAGGAAGCCCAAATCCATGAATGTTGCGTGATTTGCTTACATATAAATAAAAGTAGCTACTGTCATTCCCTTCCCACCCCCCACACTTTCCATGCTTCTCTTTTTTCTGGAATTTTGTCTCCATCGGGGGCATGCTCGAGATAAAAGTAGACAGAACGTAGAGTACCAACTTACTCCTGCTCTGAAGCTGTCTGCAGCCTCGGGTGGTGGCTATTCTGCCTCCTTGGTCATTTTGCCCATCTCTGTCCTCTCATTCTGTCTTTCCTCATTTGTTTTCTCTCGCCTCTCATTTCTGCCCATCAAGAGTGGGGAGGACGTATGCATGGGCTCTGGGATGCGAGTACTCTCTGTCTGATCCCTCCTTCCTTTTTTTTTCTCCTTCTACCGCTTCATTCTTTTGGTGAAGATTCTCCACTGGGAATCTGTTAGGGGCCGTACTCCTTACAGGCAAGAGGGAGTGTGTGTGTATGTTTGTGTTGGAATGTAAGGAATCTTCGAAAAGGGAAGAGCAAGTTAGAAAGCCAAGATGTAGGAGGGAGTTCCGTTTGTAGAAAAAACTGAGAAGGCCGGGCGTTTGATGTCTGGCTAAGAGTTTTGAGCACAGTCCTGGGCGTGGTGGGCTCAGGGAAAGGTTTTACCCTGGGAATGATGCGATCCCATGTGCTTTTAGGAAGGTGACCCTGGTCATCTGGCAGGAAATGGATGGGGCAGGAAGTGGACTTTGTGGATGGGTGGAGAACCTGTGGAGAGATGCCTGCCCTCCAGGGCAAGGCAGGTGGTGGACAGAGTGAGCTCGCTCAAGATGCATCTGGGAGCCGCATCTGTGGGTCTTGGTCCCTGCAGAATCAGGGAGGTAGGGATGCTGAGCATGACTCCCAGGTTTCTGACCAACCGCATGAATGCATGGAGGCATTTAAGGCTGTGGGGACTCTGGAGCGAGAGCATGTATTTGGGGAGAGTGCTGGGATGACAGCCATGAGCCATGGCACCCGGCCTGACATTTTAAAATGAAGATTATTTTTCCACCCCCCAGGGAATGGTGACGATGTACTGTTTCATGAGCTGCTTAATAATGTCTTCATTGACGTTGGCAGATTCTAGCATATTTGCATACAGAGAAAAAGAAGTTACAATCCTTGTGAAACCCACAAATAGTTTACCTGCTCTGCCATCTTCAAGATGAAAGAAAAGGAAAAATACTGAGAAATAAATTCACAGTGCCCGGGTCATAGTAGCAAGGTGGACAGACATAAAAAGTTCTGAGCAGAGACGTTCTTCAAGACTCCAGGAACAGTCCCGTGGAGAGTGTGCATTAGCACAAGATTCTGGGAGGAGAAAGGCTTGTAGCTTCCACAGAAGGACCTCAGACCAGAGCCTCTACGGTCCCTCTGCCCCTCTGTGCGTGGTGTTCCGTTGCCAGGCATCCCGTACCAGCACGTGCAGACAAAACGCCAAGTGCTTCCTGGACTGTGTGCAACCTGCACACGCTAAGTAGAGAGGAGAGAATGGTGGGAGACCTGACGTCGGTGGGAGTGCCTTCACTGAGGCCGTGTGTCTTTGGAGCCTGGATTCAGGCTGGAAAGCTTGGACACTGTGGCATGTGGCTCACAGAACGAGATTCCCTCTCCCGTGCGGTGTGGGTTGGTACAGAACGCATCTCCAGGTGTACGGCCTCACATTCAGCTGGGGCCCTACCCTGTGCCCCTCCCCTGCATCTGAGGTTTCCTCCTGTAACAAAATAAGACAAAAGTGGTCCAGGTTTAGCAATGACTTTCCCCCATTGCTGAGTTAGGGTGTGGAGTAGGACAGGTGGAGGGGAAGAGGCCCTGCTGGCTTTGTGCAGTGGGGTTTTGTGAGTGCGGCTCTGCGGAGAAGTGGCAGGCCCCCATGCTTCCTCAGCTGTCTTCATTCTCTCCCGCCCTGCCATGGGGGGTGGACTGGGGAGGACCCGTACGGGGTCTGTGGTGGAGTGGGGGACGGACCCAGGGAGGGCATGTGGAGGGATCTGCAGAGTGGGTCGGACTGGGGAGGGCATGTGGGGGAATCCGCAGTGTGGGGGCAGACCCAGCCTTCTCCTCCTTCTCAGTGTCTCAGCTCACCAGCTGCTTTGTCAGCCTGGGGCTCTTCCCTCTTCTGAGACCAGTCTCCTCAATGTAGCATGAAGCCCACCCTGCTACAGGGAACACAGGCTGTGGGGGATTTGCAGTATGTATGAGTGCACGAAAGGACACATGCAGAGTGTGTGTGTGTGTGTGTGTGTGTGTGTGTGTGTGTGTGTGTGTGTGTGTGTGTGTGAGTGTTTGCACATTCAGTCCTTTTAAAAAGTTCTTCCTTTTTTCTCTCTGGGCCTTAAGTGAGCAAAAGCTGCAAAGCATCTCTTTCAGGAAATCCCACCAGTCTCAGTCCGGCTCCCAAAGCCACGATGCACCTCCCCCATCTCCCAGCTTCTTAGTCTGTAAAATAACACAAATGCTAAGCAAGTATTTACACATAATCCTCGCAATGTTCACTCAGTGCACTGGGTCTGTGGTTGCTTGGGAGCGTGAGGAGGGGAGGGGTGGGAGGGATTTATTAAAAAGCTTCAAGTAGGTAATAGGCTTCTCTTGCCTTCTTTTGAAGCTTGCTTTGCCTTGTTTTTATTTGCCTTGTTTGTTTTCATCGTGGACCCGGGCCCATCTGGGGAGAAACGGGAGAAACGGTATTTTCCATGTTTTATGTTTGAGCCATACCGTTGAACAGACTTCAGATGACTTCCGGGGTCATCTCTGTGCCACACCTGGGAGAGAGCCAACATGTATTCAGGTGGTGTCACAAGTTTGCTGACCCCTGCCAGAATGTTTGTACGAGGACCAAATGAAGAAATTAACTTGTTAAAACATAGGGAGGCTTGCTTTGGATCAGAGTATACCTTCAAGGCGGTGAAGATTATTAAACAGATCCATTTGAAGAAGCTGAGAGCACTGACTGTAAACACTTTGAGCCAAAAATGGAAACGATTGCACAAATTGCTACAAAGCAGAAGTGATATCCTGTGTGAAGCTGGACTCTGTGGAGGGCTGTATGCTCAGAGAACAAAATTGTTTCTTTCCTTTACTGCAATCTGGAGAATTCCCCTGTTCTCCAGTCCTTTTTGGTGTCTTAGAAGCCGATCAAATAAAGAAGGCTGCTGAATTGTTCAAAATTCAACATTTCAAAGATTCATTTATGACAAATCATAAAGGGTTTAGAATAAACCGAGAAATGAATTTAATTAGCGAATCTTCTATTTTCCAAAGTGTAATTTTAAAAATTTAATATGGAAAAAGACAGTTTTGTGAGCAAAGCCACTTATACTGCAAAACATTTTTATGTTCCTAAGCCAACAAAGTCAAGTGAGATCTGTGTGTGGTAAAGGGGCTGAAAAGCTGCTTTTAAAATGCAGCAGGGTGTCGTGAGAAGAAACCTGGAGAGGGCATTGGGAGCCCTGCCTAGCCACATCCCTGAAACCCTTTCTGGGCCTTGGTCTCCTTCTTGATAAGTATGGAGGGTGAGCTTAGTGATCTTTAAAGTTGAGTGCAGTCCCAGGTTTCATTACGTTCCGTTCTGTCATTAAATATTTCCTGAGGGCTTTGGGCTTTGCAGGAGACAAAGGTAAAGAGGGTCCTGCCCTCCCAGGGCAGGATCTGTCCTGTCGTGAGGATAAACTGGGTGTGCAGACAGAAACACCAGGAGATTGCCCAGGGTGGCTGCCAGAGATGGGGAAGAAAGGAACTGCTGCTGAGTTTAGCAGAGAGAGTGCGAGAGTCTGATGGCACCATGAAGGAAGATTCGTGGCAATGGTGGTGTTTTAAGAACTCCGTTCTTTTAAG